AGCTCCTGAAAAAAGTCATCTTTGCATTGACATGACCTCCAAAGTGCCAGTTTAAGAGCTCTCCTTGCTAAAATTATACCTTTGTTAGGGCAGGAATATTATCTTATAATATCATCATCTTACTCAGCAGAGGAAGGAAGGAGAGCAAAGTAATAACACTTCTATTATTGAGAACTTATCACTAAAAACAAACACGGTCTAATACATTACAAACCAGCTGGTTTCCGAATAAAGGTTTTCTTCCTCAAAGGAAATGTGCAACTATGCCAAGCAATTTACAAAAACTGCATTGCTTTATGGACAAATGGGATTATAACTAGTCTGTGAAGTTTAACAATTAGTACTACAAAAACCTAATGCGGCTCTAAAAAAAACAGGGATCACACCAGAACAGACTCATTTGCCCTCCTACTGTGTGCTGTGATATACAATCACAGTACAGTGGAACCCTGTACTCTCAAACCTGCTAAAGTTATATTGCTTTATGGTACACACACTGAAGTGCCTATGTCAGCCACAAAAGTCCTTCTGTAAACCAGTAAAACTGCAGAGCTCATGCTCTGGTGGAAGAGCATAGAGACTTATGTGAAGCTCGTGATACATATTCATTATGGATGTCCCCACTCCACGCATCCTTCCCTCATTTACAGACATTATGCCGCAAGGAAAGAGAACTGAACTTTGTCTTTGGCGCCTTTCTTTCCATGTAGAACACTTCCAGGAAGAAGGAAATCACTTTGATTTTTGTCTGAGCTTGATGATAAAAAACAGGTTACTTCAAAAAAGCTCTAAAGCCACCTCAGATTTGGGTTTGAGACACTCAAAGGCAGCCTGATTTTAAACTGTGGCAGAATGAAGAATACAGGCTGCTTTTCAAGCTGTAAACATCACGATGTGAATTCAGGTATTCATAGCTTGAATTAATTTTAGAGATACAGGCCAAAAGGTGGTACTCATTAGGAAAACGCACCTGTTCAATGCCTTCCCGAAAGCAAGAAGTGATGAAAAGCAGTCAGCCTGGGTTTAGTGGTCTTACACGAACCACATCTGGAACCTTGTCCCACCCATCTTCTCAGATCATCTTTTGAGGGGCAATGGTCAAATCAGGTTAGAAAATAACCCCTTTGCTAATAAATATTATCAGCAAGAAAACAGTTCCCTGCTGCAGATGTAAACTAAATAGCACACAGCAGACTGAAGACTAAATTTTGCTCAGAAATCTGGGACTGAGCTGACAGTCAAAGCCTGGGTGGGAGAGAGACCTACCTTCAGAAAGAGAGTCTTCTCATTAATGCCACTCACAGGCCGAAACCCTCTGCAGGCAGGTAGTTATGTCTGTGAATAAACTTAGGCCTTTATTTTTTATGATCATGAGGATCAGAACTGCAGATTTACCTCCTTCCCACCCAGCACTCCCTATGTTAATGCAGTCCTTCAGTCCTTGTGTTAATGTAGACCTTCAGGCGGGCAAACCACGCCGCGCTCCATCTCTCCTTTATTTCCTCTTCCTCTCCTGCATTTCATCTGACTCTAAAATAAAAACAGGGGAGAGGGTGGCAGGTTACAGGAAAGCCTGCAGAGGATTCCTCCTTCCCAGATTAGGATTTAATTGTATTCCTACTGAGTCCCTTCTGGTTGCGCTCGGTCTTTCAGATGAATGTTTCATCAATATGATTAGGATCATATCCCTCAGTCTCGTCTATTTACACAATCGGTTGTGACAGCTCAGAGTATAGTACTCCCTAAAGGAAATATTTGATACCACCCTATCATTTTATTCAAATCATATTTTGCACTCCACACTTTCAGGCTAATGTCATTCGCCCCTGGATTACATATTTGTTATATCCAGCAAGGACTAAAATCATTCCAATAAAGATTAGATTAATATTTATATTAGCCATACTCATATTATTATGAGCAGGGCTATGGAGATCTGGGTAAAGGGAGGAGATAGCTCAAGGGCTGGGAAATTGGGCTTGTAGGTGCAAAAAAAAAAAAAGTAGGGCAGTGATACAATAATAATAATAATAACAATAATAACGTCACAATTTTATGGGGTGGACGGGCATGAGGGAAGTGCCAGTAGGCCCCTTCTCCCTCACTTCAGTCCCCCCACCGCCACTTTCTCCCCAAAGCCGGGGCTCCACAGTTGCCCACCGCCGACTCCCTCTGCACGCCTAGCCGGTATTCCCGCAGGGAAGGGGAATTTCTGATGCCTAACGGTACCGCAAGAGCCATTAGGGCCTATTCCCGCTTCGGCGCCGCCGCCTCAAAGGCAGCCCTGAGGGGAGGGCGGCGGCGGCTGAGAGGGGCTGTAAAAATAACCTTTCTAGGGAAAGCCCCCTCCATTAACGCCGCGCTCCCCTCAGAGAGGAGGAGGTGGGAACACGCGAGCAGGTGGTGAAAAGCCGGCGTTGAGGAAGGTGGGAGCGGAAATTCAGACCGAAAGTAAAACCCCATCGCATTACTCGAAAAGAAAACACACTCAAAAATATCTGCTCCTTCCTCCCCGGAGCGCTGAGCTCGCCGCCTCGGGGAGGAAGGAGCCCTTTCTCCAGAGAGAGACGGGGAGTTGGCGCCGTAAAACAGAGCATTTCGGGGTCGTTTACTTTTCCCGCCCGGGTGTGAAGCGGCGGCGACGCAGTTTGGGGCGAGCAGCGAGGGACGAAGTTTCGTTGGAAAAAAAATCCCAGAGGGTTGTTCCCGACGGGCCGCTGCAGAAAGTACGGGCGAGAGAGACTGATGAGCTGCCAGGTCTGCTTTAACGAAAACAACCCCATTACCAGAGTCTTCTGCGAGAAATGGTCTCAATCCATCGGACAAGCCCCTCTCCTCTGCCTCTAGTGCCCCGCCGGGCGCCCACGCTATTTAAAAGTAGGGGTTACGCGCGCAGAGAGAGCGCCGAACTCGCTCTGCTCAGTGAGGAAATATCCCAGAGAACGGCTAATTCGCGGGGAACGGCCTCAATGGATTATTACACTGGTATATCTCGCTTTCTCCGGGCCGAACCCCCGGGGCGGGCAGAGCCTTTGGCCGGCCGGCAGCCGCGGAGGTTCGGATTCTCCCTGATCTAGAACTCAGTTTTCCCGTTTCATCAGGCGGGGCTCGCAGTTAGCCTCCCGCCGCACACCACCGCAGTGGTGTAAATAACTATTTTTTTTTTAAATTTATTTACTTATTTCCCTTTAAGCCCGCCATCCCCGTCCAGCTGCCGTTTCAAACTCGCACGCAGCTTACATACCACTGCGTCGGAAGTGCCAGGGACGAGGCCGACGGGCGCGCTCCCTTCCACCGTTCGCAGCCAGGCGAAGGTGGTGCCGCGCTTCCCGGCACACCCCCACGCCACCCGCGGCTGTGGGGGATGCGGACGGAGGGACACTCACCCTTGGGGTGTCCTCCTCCCTCCAAAGCCACGATAAAAAGCCCGCCGAGGCGAGGCGGGGCTCTCCGCCCGCAACCCGCTGTTTGTGTCAGTAAATCACATTACGAAGCAAAGTGCAAGGGTAGTTAACTTTATCTTCTGTTAATGTAAACAAATAAAAAGCATTCAGTTCCTTGATCTTTATTTAAATCTGGAGTTGTTTATCAGTGTCATCCTATGAAGATTAATTAGATACCTTTATTCACAATTTGGCGTCTGACACCCCATTTTAGGAATGCATTATAATCACAAGGTGTTAATTGGGGCCAGCCAGGCACTTACATTTTTATTAAACAGTGTGAGGACTTTTCGCAAGTATTAAGTTCTTTTTTTACGGTGCGGTGCAAAAATATACAGCTTTTAATAACAAAGCGCGGCGGAATCGTGCTCCCGGACGCTGTGTAATCGGTGTTTGCGGCGCGGGCAGGGATGGTCGCCGCAGCCCCGGCTGGGAACAGGGGGCAGCCTGCCCGTCCAGGGGACCTTTCCTTGGAAGGGTATTCCCCCACCTAAAAAATACACACAAAAATTATATTCCATCCCCAGTCTCTTAAAAATTACCGCGACTCCTGTCTCATATGGAGCCCTTGTCCGGGGG